GAGTCGGTGGGGCCGTTGGGGGTCCCCCCCATAGTCCCCTCCCTCCTCCTCCAGCCCCCACCCCCTCGCCCCTTACTCACCAGCACCAGAGCCCTGGTGCTGAAACATACGGCCTGGCCAGCCGTGTGTTTCAGCACCAGCGCGAGGGGCCAACCATAGAGCTGCTCTGGCAGCCAGAGGGTCTCCATGGAGGACCCAGCCTCTGGTTTCCTCGATTAAACTTCGATTTTTTTAGGCCCCTGGATATCCAGGGTTCTAATTTTCTCCCCGCGCTGCAAACTTGCAGTGCGGAGAACATTTTTTTGTTCCCACACATGCCTATTGCCCCGCCTCAAAGGGGTTTGAGGTGGGGCAAGACACACGTGCACGCTTGTCTGGACACACCCTATGAGAGCAACATGGGAACACAACAATAGGCATGCAAAGGACTAAGAGCCAGAGAGTGGTGCTCTGCATGCCCTAGGCACATGCCAAACAACAGATACAGGCTGCTCACACATTCCAATGATGTCCCTCACCCTTGGTAAGATTGAGCGTGGAAGGCAAGATTTGCGCCAATATAATTAAGATGTATAGAATGTCTATACCGTGCAACCTTAATAGCTTGCCTTCATTACAAAGCACTTTCTAAGTCTGAGGGTGTCTCAGCACTGGAACCTATAGAGTTTGTGAGATCTCTCACTGGAAGGTTTAAAGGGCAAATTAGACAAACACTTGGCTGGAATGGTTGAAACATGGATGATCCTTCCTTCATACAGGAGACTGGACTAGATCAATATTTCTCAACCTTTTTTGTACCAGGATCCATTTGTAAACAGCCATGGCCAGTCCCAAACCAGTAAATAGTTTAAGTAGAAAACAGCCCCTGGACCTGCTGGTGCCCCTCACTCCCAACCTGCTGCCCCCTGCCCCAGACAGCAAGACTCATTGCTGCCACTGCCAGGACTGCACACCAGCTGCATGAGGGGTAATGGATGGAAGTTGGGAGCCATGCTGCCCTCATCTCCTCCTGCCACCAGCCATTTGGATGCTGGGCTGCAGCTCTACCCCACTTCCATGGCCCAGCCACTGCTGCCATTCTTCTCAGGACGCCTGCACTGCCTGCCATGCCACCTATTTTCCAGGATAGAGCCTTGGCCTGAGGAAAGTGGCAGCAGTGGCCAGGGCTTGGCAGCAGGGTAGAGCCGCAGCCCAGCATACAAGTGGCTGGCAATATAAGTCCATTACTCCTCACACTGCTGGCAGCACAGCTGGCATAGGAGTTCTGGTGACAGCAGCAACGAGTCTCACTGCCCTGCTCTGCCCTCCCGTACCTGGTTCCTGTCTTCTAGGCTGCAGAGGTGGCTTCTGCCTCTGCTAGGCTGTAGCTCTGTGCCTGCTGTAAGTGCACAAATCTGGGGCGGGGGGGAGGCATGTGCCCCCCCACCATCCATGCAATGTGTTATCTATGCACCCCCCCACCACCACCACCAGCCTCAGACTTACCTTCATGGAGCTGCAGGAGTTACTCTCCACACTGCCCAGCTGCCACGTGCATGTGTGCACACGCACATGCATGTGGCACCCCCTGGCTGATCGTCCTCTTCCCACTCCCCTCAAGCTGCCCTTTGCATGCTGGAACTCTGCCAGCCTGCAAGGGGAAACCTGCATTTCCCACATTTTTCTCCTTTAAAAGAGAATCCATTTTTAAAGTTTGTTTGTGATCTTTTCATATATTTTTGCAACCCACTTTTGGCTCACAACTCACGGGTTGAGAAATGCTGAACTAAATGACCTCAGGAGCTCTCTGAATGACCTGTCTCACAGTGCAAAGCACTACTATTTCAAATACCTGAGGGGCTCTAAAAGACTGTCTGCACAGCCCTCCCTCTCAGGCTCCAGGGCTGCAAAGGGCTGGGCTTTCCCTTTCTCTCTCAGAAAATTCTACAAAGGTACACAGGTGTTAACAACAAAGGAAACTATAGGCCAGTCAGTCTTACCTCAGTCCTGGGTAAGCTTTTTGAGAGAATTATCCTGGCACATGTCCACAAGGGGCCAGCAGGAGAGATTATGCTTAGGGGCAACCAACATGGGTTCATTAGAGGCAGGTCCTGTCAGACCAACCTGGTGGCCTTCTATGACCAGGTCACAAGATCCTTAGATGCAGGGGTAGGATTGGATGTAGTCTTTCTGGACTTTAGGAAGGCCTTGGACACTGTCTCTCACCCCATTCTCATTAAAAAAGTAGGGGACTGTGGCATCAACACCTACATAGTCAAATGGGTCACTAGAGCCAGAGTCCAGTTGGCTGGAGGGCCGCACCCAGAGAGTGGTGGTGGATGGGTCATTTTTGACCTGGAGGGATGTGGGCAGTGGGGTCCCCCGGGGCTTGGTCCTTGGGCCTGCACTGTTCAACATCTTCATCAGCGACTTGGACGAGGGTGTAAAAAGCACCCTGTTCAAATTCGCAGATAACACTAAGATGTGGGGAGAAGTAGACATGCTAGAAGGGAGGAATAGGCTGCAATCGGACCTAGACAGGTTACAGGGGTGGGCAGATGAGAACAGGATGGGTTTCAACACTGACAAGTGCAAGGTGCTGCACCTGGGGAGGAAGAACCAGCAGCATACCTACAGGCTGGGGAACTCCCTTCTCGCCAGTGCAGAGGCAGAAAAGGATCTTGGAGTCATTATTGATGCCAAAATGAACATGGGCCGACAGGTCAGGCCGCAGTTGGAGTACTGCATCCAGTTCTGGGCACCGCACTTCAGGAAGGATGTGGACAACATGGAGAGGGACCAGAGGAGGGCCACTCGCGTGATCAGGGGACAGCAGGGCAGGCCCTATGAGGAGAGGCTAAGGGACCTGAACCTGTTCAGCCTCCACAAGAGAAGGCTGAGGGGGGATCCAGTGGCTGTTTACAAACTAGTCAGGGGGGACCAGCAGGTATTGGGGAAGTCCCTGTTCCCCCAAGCGCTACCAGGAGTGACAAGAAATAATGGTCACAAGCTGGCAGAGGGTAGATTCAGGCTAGATATCAGGAGGCGCTACTTCACTGTCAGGGCGACTAGGATCTGGAACCAACTTCCAAGCAAAGTGATGCTGGCTCCTACCCTGGGGTCTTTAAGAGGAGGCTAGATGAACACCTTGCCGGGGTCATTTGACCCCAGTACTCTTTCCTGCCATGGCAGGGGGTTGGACTTGATGATCTGCTCAGGTCCCTTCTGACCCTACCAACTATTAAACTATGAGAACAGTGTTATTTTAATTTTCTTGGGCCTCTAAAAACACGTTTCAGCTTCACAGGCATGTTTTCAATTTACCAACTATTTTCTTAAAAAAAAAAAAAAAAAAAATAGAAAAAAGAAAACCCTAACATTTGAAAAGCTTAAAGAAACAAATGTAGACCAATGGAAAATGTTTGTATTGATCAGCTTGTTCTATTCAGTCCCTCTCCTGCTCCCAACCCCACATAACCAATCCCACATGGTTTCAGGCATCACCATTATTCATTTCTTGGTTATTTTCACTTCCCTGTTACGCAACAGGATTTAAGAATGTTTGATGGGGGCATCACATGAAATAAGAGACAGACACTGATAGTTTTACAGCATGTGGTTGTATTCTTAACTGTTAAGTATAAATATTAACATTATACAAAGCAAAAACAGTTCACTTAAATTCACTGCGTTAACAAAATACTTTCCTTTAGGACTGTATTTCCATGTAAGAGTTTTAAATACCTGAAAAATAAAGACCTGATCCTCCTCTAACTGAAGTCAGTTGGGATTTTCCCATTGACTGTAATGGGAGCAGAATCCAGCAGCCCAGAGAGAAAGTGTGCATTGTTGCTTTAACTTTCAAATTATTTAACAAAGCTGCTAAATTTATTTTCTGACAAAGTGGGAAAAAGAAACCAGGAAAGATACATCTAAGTCCAAGCAATACAACACAAAATACTGAATTTGGTTATCAAAGAAACTTGGGATTCCTGAAATTCAGGAAGATCAGCCTGTCCAGGGCAGGATTTTCCCAAATAAAGACATCAGAAGGACATCAGAAAGGTTTCAGAAAATAAAGAAACGCACAGTTCTGTAGAGATAAATTATATTTAACAATGTTTAAAATAAATCCCCTCCAGTCCATATTTCCCAAAATTTGTGCTTATAGCTTGAATGGGAGGATCAGAAATGTGCAAATCTTAAAATACCCATACTAATGCATTTGAGGTACCAAAGCTGCCCACTTCTGGCATATTAAAGAAACAATTCATTTAACAGGAAAATGTGAACTTGATTTCCTACCCACAACAGATCTTGCTATTTTTGACACCCTGGAAGACAGAGAATGCATAATACTCCTTCATTTGAAGTTGTTAAAATAAAAAAAAGAAAGAAAAAACATATTGTTGGCTGTATGTGCAAAGCCTTTCCCTTATGAAATAATTCCACTGAAGGTGATGGGAATTCTTTGCATGAGAGACGATGACATATTTGAGCAAAGATTTCCAATTATAAGGTACCATTAAGGTGCTGTTGAAAAGGCTGCTAAGGATCTTGAAAGAGTTCTGCTCGATTCACTCAACTCCAACATCAGTGCCAGGGTTGGGTGCTCTTCATTCCAGTGGATGAACTAAAGAAAGAGAGAAAAGATTGTCCTTTTTTTTTTTTCATTTGAAGCAGTCTGTTGCAAAAATCTATCATTAAGTCCTGTAACATTCCCAGTCATTCATCAATAACTTCAGGACTTTGTTTTACTCTTACACTCCAAGTAATGTATAAGCGTCCAAATGAAAACCAAAACAAACAAACAGAAAAAAAAGACCTAAAAAAATTAAATCTTTATACTTGGCTCAATGTGAAGAAGGCTGTACCCTCTCAGCTCAAGGGACATCTTTTTAAGTTAAAGCACAGTGAGAAGATGTTCTTAAGTAAGATGGACTTATTTTTCCAAGCCTGAAGTGCCTGCTCTCTGCTTCCCCCTGGCAGTACAGGGGCCCAAGGGGCTGCTCCAGAACTTCCCTCCAAGCTCCCTGCAAAGGAGTTCACTTTCTCTCACTCTTTTCTTTTGTGTTGTCCTATCCTTTCTCCAGCAGCAGGTTCCAGCTAGTTTTAACACCATCTTGTTGTACTGAGGTGCAGGCAACGGGGGAGGAATAAGTGGTTGCAACAGGGAATAGTGCTTCTTTAATGACAGTAAGAGCCAGGGCTTGTTTCTGGGTGTAGTGAGATCTACAACACTAGCTTTTTATGCACCTACCAAAAGAGATGTTACAAAGCCTGCACAGCCATTATCTGCTCTGTGGACAGATGGCCACTGATACATCTTCAGGACTAATAGTGAAGATAGCTACTGATATATCTTTCACAAACACTCTTTAAAAAGAATCACATGCTATGCATTGAAAAGGATTGTCAAGTACCTGCACCTCATGAGATGTGCTGGACTTCTGCCTTCATGTGTCCTTCGATGAAAAACTAAGAAAGAAATCATAAATACAGGATACCATTTTTATATATTTATGTTCACAGTAACTGAATGGGATACTTAATTTATTCGGGACTGATACTTTTTAACAATTTAAATAATATCAGAAAATGTAATGATGATTCCAAACTCATGTTACCAATAAGAAAATGTAATTAACCATCTGTCTTAAAACATTATTTGCCTTGGAAAAGAGAGGAACCATCTTGAATACTATCTAAATGCCCTTTGTATATGCAGGTTTGCAATCATTTGATCCTGGAGTGTCAGACAGTAAAGTACATTGAAAGTAACTTTAGTGCTGTTTGGAGAGGACTGATGCAGCATAACACTTTTACAGTTGTATATGACAAGCATATTTTATAAAGGCATATGTGATAAATTGGCCATATAATTATATAAAAAGAACTATTTTCTTAATCCCAAGTAACCCAAGCCAGAATAAACTATGAAAAATCTTGAACAAATACTGTTTTCACAGTATTTAGATTCAGGAAAGGTGAGAAATTCATATCAATAATATGAAACATCTTTGAAACATAGTACCATATCTGTAATCTAGCAATAACAGGAGCAACAATAATGAGGGAAGAATAAAGTGTCTCCCTTGAGTACAGTCAAGTATTTTTATGGTTTGCACCTCTTCAAAAACTCCAGCAGTGCATATTCTGACCATTACAGCTATTTCCCCCATTTAGAGAAATTATTTAGATGAAATACAGAGAAAGTCTTGTTTCACTTAATTTTTATCTTGAAATGAAAATGCTGAAGGGCAGAGTCTGATACCTGCATTCATGTTCTTACTCTACATATTTTGTACAGTTTTATTTGTACTTTGCAAACACATAGCCCTCTTTCATTCCTTTCAGTACAAAGCAGTACCAAAATGTCTAAATAAAAAGTATGTGAGAATTTGCCTTTCACCTTGTGGAATACCATGGCAGCCCTGATCATCTCAGATGTTCCAGTTAACAGTGCCTTGGTTTAAGAAGAAAGGAGCTAGCAGGAGAACACTGTCAACCAGAGGCCATGAATTTTGCCATATGATTCCTCTCCCTTGTTCCCTCAGAACCCAGATTTAGCAGCCCTTGGGCTGCGCTGAAAAACTTGTGCACCTTCCTACTGTTCTATCCAGAGGAATGAGTGGCTCTTTGGAATTAGGAGCCAATGAGTCTAAGGGGAGATAAATAGGACAGAGTTTCTTCCAGAGTCAATGAAAGATTTTCACAATATATGATTATTGCTAATTTGTTTTTTAAATGTTGTACAAACCAAAATCTCAGAAGTATGTGGCCTGGTCTCTAATTAATAGTCTCTTGTCCCTATGTGGATTTGTACCTGTCAAAAATTTATGTCCAAGAATAGTCAGAACAGTTGCAAGTAATAGAATTATTGCTGTCAGAGATATAACCTTTAAGGAGTTTTCATCTTCATCTCGATTCCGTGAAGATAATGCTGGGGGGAAAAAACATATTTGTTGTTACCAAAAATGCATATTTAAGCAAAAAAAAGTCATCACCGTAACTCTGTCCATTAGAACTGTACCATTTTCCTGTCAACCCAAAAATGAATTTGTGATGACTTCAAACAATAATTAAGATCAGAAATGACCATACTGTGTTAAAATATGCTCCCTCTAGTAAAATTCTCCCATCTCAGACACTGACAACCACCAGAAGGAGAGGTAAGAACTCTTTAGCAGGCATATATGGGATAATATGCTCGCAATATAGGATCTCAGAAATGTAGGCATTAGTTTAAACCCTGAAGCATGAGGTTGATATCCCTCCATAAACTGTTTTTTTATACTTTTGGGATGTTTTTGATATGTATATACATTTCCAGTTCTTCAGTTCTTATTCCTTGAATACCTTGCCTCAGAATCTTCAGCCGCAGTGAATACCATAGTTTAATCACACACATGAAAAAAAGTCCTTTCATGAGTTTTAAATTTTTCACCTTTTCATTTAATTGGAAGTCCCTTCATAATAGTTCTCATGTTAAAAAACAAAGGGATAAATTTGCCCTATGTACATTCTCTAGGAATTGTGCAGCTAAAGTTGTATTTCCAAAAGGCTTTATGTTTCTCCATCTGCTTTAACCAGTTCATATAAGCAGTCTATGTGTTAAGCCATCAATAACTCTTTTCTTGTGGCTGGACTTGCTTTGCCAATAAATAAATATGGGATGGACAGAGTCTAGGCAGAGCTCTCCATTTAGGGCCGGTCCACCTCCCTGCCACGTCTCACAATCCTGCTATGAAGCACATTCTACCCACTCACTCTTGGTCCCCACAAAGTCCTGCACATGAGGCAATGTCTTGACCTGATGGAACTCAAACCTTCATGTCCCACTTCCCATGAGAGAATCCTGAATACTTAGGCCCCTGGGAAGCTAAGATATAACACTCATGAGGCCAGAAGGAGAATAAGAAATTATAACTCTAACCTAATGAGGATAGCCCTCTGGAAGCAGGAAATCTGCCCTGTGGCTCCTGCTAACAGAATTAATTCTGGTTTGTAATCAATGACTGCCTAATGCAAAATGCATGAGCAGTCCTGACAGCAGGAGCAGTAGTGAAAGGCCCTGCAGACTGTCAATCTCTGAAACAGAGGCTTCTGATTTTGTTGGCAAATTCCTCTCCACTATTTCGATTCTTCATTTTGACATTCATAGATTCATAGATGTTCGGGGTGGAAGGGACCTCAGTAGACCAACTCAAACTACTGCCCCCACCTGACCTCCCTCAATGAATTTATAGGCAGTCACAAGATCACCTCTCAGTCTTCTCGTGCAGAGCCTAAAGAGATCCAGGGCCCTAAATTTCTCCTTGTACGGCTTTGCCTGCCGGCCCCTAACTAGACGAGTGGCCCTCCTCTGAACCCTCTCAAGGTTGTCCACATCCCGCTTGAAGTGCAGCACCCAAAACTGGATGCAATACTCCACCTGCGGCCTGACCAATGCAATGCTACATACAGGGGAAGTATCACCTCCCTCAACCTGTTAGTCATGCACCTGCTAATGCATAATAAAGTGCAGTTAGCTTTACTGATCACTTCATCACACTGACAACTCATGTTCATCTTGGAGCCAACAATAACTCCGAGATCCTTTCCACTGCTGTGCTGCTGAGAAGGTCCTCCCCCAGCCTGTAAGTGTGCTGGTGATTCCTTCTTTCTAAGGTGCAGCACTTTGCTCTTGTCTTTGCTGAACTGCATCCTATTCTGTTCTGCCCACTTTTCCAACCTGTCCAGATCCACCTGGATTCGTTCCCTACCCTCTACTGTGTTAACTTTATCCCATAATTTGGTATCATCTGCAAATTTGGACAGAGTGCTTTCCACAGCCTCATCCAAGTCACTGATGAAGACACTGAACAGCACAGGTCCAAGAACCAAGCCTTGTGGGACTTCATTGCTCACATCTTTCCAGGTCATTACCAACCCATCCACCACTACTCTCTGGGTGCATCCCATTAGCCAATTTGCCACCCACCTGACCATGTAATGATCTACATCACAGCACCTCAGTTTATTTATGAGAATAGGATGAGATACTGTATTGAAGGCCTTCTTAAAATCCAAGTAGATGAACATTAATAGTACGTACCACACTGGATATCGCAGATTTGTAGTGGAACAGAATAATCTACGTCTGTCCTCCAGGCCTTGTAAAAGGAAAGGAAGAAAGGTTATTTCTGTTTTGACAATATTGTAAATGACCATTTATTTTAACAAAATAAACACCAGTTGGTTAATTTACTGGATTTTCTGTATATATATATTTTAAACCCTGGTTTAAAATAAAGTCATATGGAGAATTCTGGTCTGGCTTATATTTGTGTAGGTGGTAATTAGTTTGGGATTTATAAAGGATAGAGCTGGTCAGGATATTTTAGAATGATTTCCTGACAGAAATTGACTTTTGCACAGTTTTGCCAATTTTTTTAAATTTTGTTTTCCATTGGGAGAATCAAAATGATGCTTCTTGCCAAAAAGATTCTAATTAACTTCATTTTCTTGCTGTCATTCTCTGCCTAAAAGAAGAAGGAAAAATTAACGAAAGCCTTTCAGGCTGGCTGCTGGAGACTGAGAGCACACCAGGTCTCGCTCCCCAGGTGCTACCTCTTGCCTGGAACACTCACTTCCTGTGCAAAATCAAACCTTGGAGCCTCATATTCAATTTCGATTTGTGTTAGTAAAATTCAGCTGCACAAATAATTCACAAAAAATACCAGAAAATACTTCCCAGTTCTGTTTGCAAGAATTACAAGTTTAACCTGTAACTGCATACTTACTGTGCAGCATGCCCCTTGTCTATATGGCATGTTTATGCCTATTTTTTCTAATATATTCTGCTATGCTCCTAGTTTTGGGTACATTTATCTGTTATTCACAGAGTCCTTGTGATGAATCCTTTAACTAGGAAAAATCATATGCAGGGATTGATTAATTTAATAGTAGTTTGCCCTTAATATCCCAGTTTGCCATCTACAAATCCAAGAGATAAAGGAGAATGGCCTTTGTTTTAAATAATTCATGCCAGCTCAGCAGGAGGTGGAGGCAGGTTATTCAAACTATAAAGCAATGCTCTTTGCATTATTTATTTGAATTAAGCCGCAACTGTGCCCAGGTCAGATCTGGCTCAGAAGTGGCAGCCAAAGCACTGCCTGCTGTTTTTTATTTCCCCGCCAACTTGTTTGTTTAGTGCTAAGTATGTGTCAAAATCAAACAACCTACCTGAATGCAAACCTTTGAGCTGCATATTTCACCTGGAATATTGATAGATGTGGAATCCGAGCCACCCTGGCAGGAACAAAATGGAAAGCTGTTAATTCCATATCTGGGAAGCAATGAAAATGCACTGACTCTTCCCAGGTATTTGCCTTTGTCACTAATATTATGTAATTTACTGCTTTAATACATGTGGCCTAGTCTTTCGTTCAAGCAGGGGAGGACGTGTGCACAATGCTATTGTAACAGCTCCACTATTCAAGGTGGGGGGCCAGGAGAGGGGACGGAAGGAGATTTGGGAAACCTGTGAAGAGGGCTCTTATCCCAGCACATTGCATAACTAAGCAGCATGCCTTGATGCTCAAGGTGAATTTAACAGTGGATCAAGAGAGGAGATTGTGAATGATTCTTCTTCTATTTTCCCTATAGTCCAGAAGGGCCAGATGCCAGGCAAGGGAGAAAAGAGCCCAGGCATTACAGATGGAAGGCTACAGCAGCAGCACACAATGACTCCACTTCCACAACCACATCTTAGGTGCACTGGAAGGGAATGTCCCCCACGCTGCAGCTCTTGCAGACCTCCTCATCACAGAGCCAGCTATTGAGGCTGTGCTCCAGGAACAGGATTACCCAGAGGGCAAAGTTGTCCTAAAAGATTGTTCTGCCATTTAAAATTTGGTGGTTTATGGCTTCTGTTCAAAAAAGTACATTAATCAGACCTGTGCTTAATCAGGCAATTACAACTACAAACTCTGTCCTCAATTAGACAAAACTCCTGTTGAAGTCAGGAATAAATTAAATGAATGTGACCTTAACCACTGTATTGCTGCACAGATGTTATTATTTAAACTATGAACAATTGTTTAGGGAAACAATGGCTCAGGGTTAAGTCATCTTGAAACTCTAGTGGAAACTGTGCATAATCTTCCAATTTATTCCATAATCTTCCATAAACTTGTAATTTATGTGGGCTATCATCATATCCAAGCTAAAAAGAACATAACAGTCCTGTACCTTAGGAGTAATAAAGATAATGGACATTTCTAAACATTTTGCACTATCTGTCCATGACCTAATATTACTTAATTATTCCTTCTATTTAGTCGTCTAAACACCCTGAAGACTAACGAGTCTGGATTGTGTAGTTCTTCAGACAAAAACCCATTGAAGTCAAGTGGCATCCAGCACACAGTAATTCTTCCACTTTATACATCTGAGGCTTTTGTATTCCCTTAGTGACAATGCTACTGAGCTCAAATAAACAGAAAGATAGATCAGAAACAAAAAATAATATGTTCAGAGAACACTACTGAGGTTGCAAGTGTATGAATATTAGGAAATATCAGATTTACAGTTGCCTGCCCCACTTTAATTCTGCCCACTTATGCATCCATGCCATGCTCTAAATAAGGCAGGAGTCCTGAAGAAAAAATTGTACAGTATGTAGTCATGCACTTAAAATCTGTATGCTAATATATATGCACCTAACTGAGTGGAGAGCACAGATACCATCTTTACCAAAAACCTCAAAGGAAGATGACCCACTGTGTGCCCCTGAAGTAGCATGAATCTGATACAGGCAGTTATAATCTTGGACTTAACTACATTAATGATCCATTGAGGAAATACATATCTGTATATATGTTACATCCCCAAAACAATGTTAACAAGCATTAAGGTTGCTAACCATTCCAAAGTCTTTTTTCACTGACGTGACTCATTTCACTTCAGTACAGTTATAAGCTCAAAATTAATGTAAGACAGAAATATGTATATGCATGGGTTTTGCAAATGTGTTCAGGCAGCAGAGCCATAGATGGCACAATGAACAAATCAGATTAAATATGATAAGGCTTCCTTATTAACAGGAACAGCTAAGAAATAAAATCTACAAACCAAAGAAACTGAATAGTGTGTCCCAACAGATTCACAGGAAGACAGCTGCATCTGGTTACACACCAACACTGATAATTGTGCCTTGGTTTGTGATGTGAAAGAGACCTGTATCTGTTCTTCTCTTCCAGCAATTCTCATTTTCCATACTAAAATAAGAGGAGAACAACTGTTACTTTTATACCTACTCATGTACATAAGAATAAGTTATTGTTTTACAGCACTAGGGCACTAGATTCCATACTGTTTTTAAAATAAAACTGTATATCAGTTCAAATGTTATCAACTATCATACCAATAACTATCTTGATTTTACCAGGTTATATTTTATTTTGACAATGTTTAATTTACTTGGAAGTTTACAAATGGTGTAGAGCACTGTTGAACAGCACTGATACAATTCACAGGATAAAAGAACATGATTATTTTGCTAAAAAGGAAGCTTTACTTACTGGAAAGGGAGTAGTTATGGGACTTATTTAATTAAAAATGTAATGGAATTATGATTTAATTTAAACAAATCAGGTATTTACCTGGGAATTTTCCATGAGCAAATGGGCATCTAATCCATGAGCCCTGCTTGGTGGTAAACTGCAAGTAAAGAAATTGGTTAGAAAAACAGAATTTTGCTAGTTGAATTTGTGGCTACAGAGACAACTAGATAGTCACCAACAGCATTTATAGACATGCTCCGGGAGGTGGGGAGCACTTGAATTAGTGAGCCATGCTAATTAAAAGCACCCAGGCATCTCGTGTATCAGCGTCCGTCCCCATGCTGAAGAATAGTTGCAGGGAACTTTGAACTAAAGCTCATCAAACAAGCTTTAGTTTAAAGCACCCTGCTGCCATTTTTCAGTGCAGGGACACTGATATACATGATGCTGGATGGAGTTAATTTCCACTCTCCAAGCAGATTCAATTAATCAAGCTTGCTCTGGTGCACTGGATTTACAGCACGTCAGAGCAGCCTTGCTGCATGTCTATAGGAACTCCCTATTACAAAATGCAACAAAGGAACTATCCACAACTTCCCTACTACTCCAAGCTCTGAAACACACACAGACCTCAATTCTGCAAACATTTACATTTTGGGCTTAATTTTCTACATCTATACAGTCCCACTGTGTTAAATCATTTCCATTGATTAATAGCATAAAATAACAATAATCAAGAGCCAACTGCTAACCTTCATTGGACATTTTGCCTGAATAAGGGCAGCAAGATTTGATCCAATAAAATGCAACACAAATACCACTTGCTATTTTCAAGGCATTTAACATGATCAGTGTTCCCATCATGGAGCCCTAATATGTTCCATTATGCATGGAAAATTTACATTTTCATATTAAGTTAAAGGTGAGTTTAAAGTACAATAGCCAACCTTAATTATACCACAGTTATATCTACCCAGCACACCAAAGGGCTACAAAGGCATTGCAAGTTCACTAAGTGCCCAGAGTGTAGAAGGAACAGGGGGAATAGGGGTGAGGGCAGCATGGGAGAAGGTAAGGGAAGACTTACTTGTCCAGGTGCTGCCCAGATCCTAATGCCCCATTCACTCCCCCCTCACCAATACATACATATTAAGAGCAAGGGTGTGCCTGCTCTTGGAGAGGCTCCTTGGAGGCAGGAGCACCATTCTACTTGCCCCAGTCACCCCCACCCTGATACAATGCTTGGTGTGGTTCTGCCTTGCCCAGCTCCTATGGCCGGGCATTGGTAGTGAAGGGCTTCCCCTGCCACAGCAGAGTCCCAGCAGGGGAATGAGGTGGGGGGAAGTTCTGGCACCCATCATAGTCAACATCTGGGGCAGGTGCCCCACTCAACCTGCCATAGGTATGCTAGCTGCAGAGGTACCGAATTTAGAGCTAGCTCAGGTATTGGAAATTGCAATGAGAAAACTATGTGTGGCCACATGGCTTGTGGTACCTGAGTTAGCTCATTCAGACCAGCCATGGGCACTGTACTGTGCCATGTAAACATGTATCAACTGTGGACACTGTTATTCAAAAATGTAAGTGCCCAGACACGAAGTTAATCAGCTATTCTGAATAGCTATTGCTGAGTAACCCCCTATGCATACAAGTCTTTTACTTACAATTGAGCACTTGCAGTACTAGGACTGATTCTCCTCTCTGTCATAAAGCTTTTACATGGATTGATCTCAACTGATTTCCACAGAGTTACTCCCTAATTTAACTAATGTAAGATAATCCTTATGCCCTGAAGGCTTGGCTTGCCACTCTCAGGTACCTTATACCTGAACAAAGTTGGTACAGAATACCACCTGAGCAGAATCACAAAGCTGCAAACCAGTTGTGCCCAGGAGTACATGGAACAGTGGAAACATCAGTCCCAGAATGTTTATTCAGTGTTAGCGGCTGTAGTGAGTCTTAAATAGAAAAAAGCATGGTAAATGAATAGCTATATCTGGTTCTTGAATTTCCTTTATTATGAAAACCCAATCCTGAGCAGTCTTGTGCCATCCACTTTAAAGACCATTAGGACAAAAGGGCAAATATGATCCCATGTTAGCTCTATCATTTTAACTGCCTTCCCTAACACAGCCTCCTCGTATGCTAACATTTTGAATTTCCTTCATTTCTATTTCCTTTTTGTCAATTAGATGAGAAAAAGTATTCATCCTAAAGCTTGCTGGCAGTTCATTTTTTGTAGCTGATACTCAGAAAGGAAGGAGAATGGACATAAATGGAATCTACAAGAAAATTAATCCATTTACCTTCATGCAAAGTCCTGGATGGCTGTCCACACGAGAATATCTTATGTGCTTGAAGAGAGAAGGTTCAGAATTAGTAAGCTTTAAAACCCAGGATCCACAGAAAGAACAAACCTATGAACTGAGTACATTTTGTAAAACTAATTCATTGGGCAAGAAATAGAGAACATCTGCCTTTTAAACAACATTTCAATTATTAAATCACAGGAAGAGTAGTAATACTAAGAATAGGCTAATTCATTATTCCATATTCTAGCTACTTATGTTAAGCGTTAGATTTAGGCTAGAGCCATTGATCTCACAATCCTAAAATAACTACATAATACTCACATTTTCTGGAATTGTATATGATGAGTTTTGGAAATCCACACATTGGTAATTAGACTTCATTAACCTGCATAGGCTAACTCTGACTTGCACAGGACAGGCTGGTTCCCAGGCTAATGTTTGTGTGGCTGCATTATACATAATGTTATCCCATAGTGCCTTGGTATCTAGGTATAAACAGTAGAATTATTATTCAGGGTAAATAGAGTGAAGCTCAACAATCCAGAAACTATTCAAATATCAATCCATTTGGTCTTAATTGCTGAATCCCTATCCTATTTTTGTTGTTATTTCCTTCCATGCAAACTGGGTTCAATTGGGATGGTAATGTTTTACATCCACTTTGTAACTGGGTGTTTATGCAAAAGGGCCTGGTACTAGAGAATCAGATATAATGTGTATTTTTATCTATACTATATCATATACGTTCAAGCTAGTAAATAAAAGCAGAGGGATCCTAATAATAACCAGATCTTCATGAACAATTCACAACAAATATCTTGTTCTGTATAAATAGTATCTTCTCCATTCCATGAATACCAAAGCAGACTATGATTTCAGATTTATTCAACATTTATGTTGGGATTTTTGGTTCTGTATAGATGGCAAACTGTGTCCTGAGTAAATTTTAAATACCTATTGCTGAAAACTGGAGCTGTTTTGCTTAATAGTGATTACTCAATCTAGGTGTCTTGAATTGGTTTTGTTCCCTTATAAAATGAGGATGGAAAATTTCCAGTGTGCAAACTTAAAATACACTTCAACTTGGAAGTTTACATTTATCTGATACCAGATAACAACATGGAACTACATGTTGGCAAATCATGTGCAAGTAAAACTCGGTTACTTGAACATTTACAAGTGAACACAAATAATACCCATCCTGGAGGGAAATGCAATTTTGTTGAAGAGCCCCACAAAAGGGGAGAATAGAAGTGAGAAACAAACTACAATGCCAATGAGGCACTAAAAGGTTTGTGGTGCACACAGCTGAGTGTTGAAATGACCTGCCACAAAACACTTTGTTTTCTGATCAGAATCTTTCCAACCTCACCATTTTGCAATTTTTTGGATATTTTTGAGTCTTTGATTTGGGATGGAAAATGTGTCAAAAGACTGAAACTACTGACAGAGCAAGAATACTTTTTTTTTTAATCAATGCTGTGCAACAATTGAGTGTCTAATAAAAGGTAATATTTAGAGAAGAAATAATAAGGCTGCCAAACGTCTTCATTCAACAACGTCCGTAACTTCACACAGTTTTTATTAATGATGCTACATAAAGAAGGGCAGAGAATCTGATAAAATAAGTATAAGGATTAAAACATTGCAGCATCTCATGTATATAGCGTTTCACGTTTAAAAATAGCCATGAAATTCATTTCTATCTGGGAGAACTTTACTATCTTTTCTCCTATGCCTGAAGAAGTGCTTGTGCCCAAAAGCTTGCAATTAAAGAATTATTTTTTTTGCAAAAATCTAGTTGGTCTAATAAAAGATATCACCTCTACCATGAGTTCTGATTCAATTACACCACTTTACTTGACCCCTGAGAGTGATCATCCTCGACCATGAGGGTTCATCAACAATGAAGAGACTGCTTCAGGCCAGGGTTAACTCTGTGGTGTGCTACCTAGCTTGTTGTAGGGTAACTTCAGTCTGCTCCACAGAAATTAAATGAACAATTTGCAGTCCTTCAGCATCCCAAGATTTATTGCTCCCAGGTCTCTCCCCCACAACCAGTGCAGGGATAGAACCTAGGTGTCCTGCCTCCTAGCCACACCCCTGCTCACCAACCCTAAAGTGGCAACTCAGAGTGGTGCAGGCAAGAAACAGTATTAACCTTTAATTTACACCACTTTACTTGACCCCTGAGAGTGATCATCCTCGACCATGAGGGTTCATCAACAATGAAGAGACTGCTTCAGGCCAGGGTTAACTCTGTGGTGTGCTACCTAGCTTGTTGTAGGGTAACTTCAGTCTGCTCCACAGAAATTAAATGAACAATTTGCAGTCCTTCAGCATCCCAAGATTTATTGCTCCCAGGTCTCTCCCCCACAACCAGTGCAGGGATAGAACCTAGGTGTCCTGCCTCCTAGCCACACCCCTGCTCACCAACCCTAAAGTGGCAACTCAGAGTGGTGCAGGCAAGAAACAGTATTAACCTTTAATGTGTGATTGTTAACAGCATGTTCTACCTTTAACACCATTCCAAAAGAATTAGTATGGTTTAAATGTAATGTACAACTTCACCCATGCAGATTGGCAGTGTGGCTGACAGCCGGACCGGTAGTGACAGTAGCTGCATTCTTGCACCCCAAGTAAGTCAGCAGCAGTCAGGACTTGTGCCCCACTCACCCACTCCTAGTTCCACCACTGGCTTATTACTTTTCAGGGAAATTGTAATGCGTCTTTACAGTGTGATTCCACTCAGTAGGATGACAGTGAAAAGACAGTACCTCTATGCTCCACATATGCGCTCCTATTCACATGCAATTTCTGACATCAACTAACTTCAGCCACAAACTAGGTATCTAAAACCTTTTTTTCTTACACCTGTCAATCCTGTGGATCTAACACGGATAAGGGAGAGTTTCTATTCTCTACACAACTGTTAGTTAAATTCCAATTATATAACCAACAAAACTACATTAAGTTGTATCTCTGCAAATTACACCAATGACGTATGAGCCAGAAAGGATTGTCTGACCTCATATCTCAGGTTAAGTTTATGGGACTGTCAGCTGGAAAAACTATCTGAAGCTTACAACAAATTTGCTTAATCCTCAAGGAGCCCTGGAACCTACCAATGCTAATCTACTGATACTTTTCACTCCACAGCCCCATGCTACTGTTTAAAGAGTTCTGAGATGACTGGGATGGAAAAGTGACACACTAGTGTTTAGAAAAAATAAAGATTCTGCATTCACTTTTCCAGCCTGGCTTAATACAAAGGTATAGGTTGTAGCTGTTATTTGCAGCCTCAAGGGAAAATCAAACTCTAAAAACTGTATTCACATAGAACCTGTTTTATAAAGGGCATCCTCCTTGCCTTTTCCTTTAGTCACGTCACACACAGCTGCTGTAAAAGTGATTGTGATGTCACAAATGCTAGTTTCAGCCACAACAGAATAAATCAGGACTCAAAAGGGCTAATTAGAAAGGCGCTTGCCTCTATTTTAATATAGATATATCAGCCCAGCTATAGCATGAAAGAAATTCCAAAGAGAGCACACATGTCAGTTTAATAGTGTTTGGATAAACTGTTATTGGTTGCCATTTCTAATTGCCTGCATGGTTCTTTAAAAAATAAATTCTAGAATCCCTTATTGAATCTTTTTGCCAAGGCCTGAGGTGAAAGGATGGCTTAGTGACATGGGTTGAATTAGAGTGACCATATTATTTTGAAGGACATCTGGGATGGGAGGCAACACACACACACCACCCCCCCCTCCACACACAAACACACACACCCACACACACTACAAGAAAAGGCAGTAATCCCAAAGCACTATATAAGCTATACCTGCAGGAAGGAGCTGCTGGTACTGCAGGGAGTGAGGTGGGTGGAGGCTGAGCCCTAATGAAGCTCCCAGGGCCACTGGGCTATGCCCACAAAGCAGCCGTGCACTGCAGCAACCCACAGAGACCCGGCCTCCCCCTGCAGCACTGGAGCAGAATACAGGGCACTCACCCAAAGGTGGATGATGTCTCAGAGGCATGTGAGCTGCTAGAGAGCAGCAGAGCAGGGTCAGGGGCAAGTGGTAGCGTGGGCAGCTGGGTGGAGCCCTGGAGGGACCAAGCCCAGGGCATTCCCTTCAGGGCACCTTGGTCCCTCCATTGCTCAGCCATCCCAGCTGCTTGCAGCCCCACTTGCAGAAGTATGTGCCTGCCACCTACAGCTGCTGCTTGAGGCTCTGGCAGGGAAGCTGGCTAGTAACTCTGCTTTGACATGATTGCCCTCAAGGCACCCACCCAGGATCTGGCCCTAGTGGCCCATCCTGGCCCTGAGCTGCGGCAGGTTGCCAATGGGCCACGGGATCTCCCCTATGAAGGAGTGGGTTGTGCACAAACTGGGACTGGCAGGGCCAGGACTGCCCTGGGATGTGCTACATGGGGACAGAAATGGCCAGTGCCTGCAGGCTTGGGGACACCCACTGGCCTGCTCTAAGGGTCGCTCCACACAGACACAGCTCTGGGCTGGGGCCGGGGACCGTGGTGGGTGGCTGATCCCAGGCAGGGCTGGCAGGGGCTCCTCAGCACCCAGGGAGGGCAGGAGCCACACACACACAGTCACAAACATAAGCACAGACACACACACATACACCCGTGACCCTGCAGCTCCCAGGAACCCTGATGGTGGAATGGGGAGGGGCAGGACAGCATGGAGACCCATAGCCAGGCTCCATCCCCATGCACAGAGGCTGGACATGGCTGGGAGCAGCCCCTGTGGGGTGTCCCCAGGCTCTACCAGCCCACTCTTCACCAGCAGCCACCCTGGGCCACCATGCACAACCTAGGCCTCAGCAGCAGCCACAGAAGCAGGACATGAGGATGCTGCTGGTGGGTGACCATCCCAGCTCGCTCTGTGCAGGTGCCAAGCCCTAGCTCTGGCCCTGACCCTGGCCCCAGCCCCCTCCCCCAGCCCCAGCTGATCCCAACCCCAGGCAGGAGGAGTGGTGCTCAGCCCAGCCTGTCCCCACCAGCCTCCAGCCACTGCTGTGGAGGAGCTGAGCTGGGCATGTGCAGGCCGGGTAGCACCACCAATCTGGGACTTTTGCTTCAATTTTAGCCAACCAGCTGGGACACCAGGATGGCCTATGAAATCCAGAACTGTCCAGCCAGGCCAGGATGTGTGGTCAACCCTAGACTAAATACAATAAAAAAAAACGTGCAGGGTTTGCTACTGCCTATCTATTTGATATGCCTCTCATCAGACCAGACATTGAAAATCTGCATAGTGTGCAAAATATCATTTTCATCTGTCACCTCAGGCCATATTATGACTTTGAAAGAATCACTTGTGTGAATAACTGCCCAATAAATAACAGGTTTTCAAGCTAGCTCACTGTCTGCAGATGTTTCCACTGGTTTCCTTTTATGACTGCACCAAATTCAGGCTGCTCGCATTCACTTTCATTTTCATTTCATCTTCTATTCCAGCTCTAATCTCTATTCCTTCCTGTCAGCAGTTTGCACACAAAATTACTTGTCTTTCTTTGTGAATTCTTTAAATTTGCAACAACCTCCTTCTCCTTTTTCTGTCAGGCCCCTCCTTCAAGTCTGGCTTTAACTCCTGTTCCTTCATAATCCCTTCGAAAGACAAGCTTCATAGGATTGCTTTCTTCTGGCTTTCTTGTATTAGAATTAAGAAAAACCATTAGTCGAATAGAAAAAAATTATTTGATGTCAACAAAGTTACTCTGCATTGGTACTGGTGCAAACACAGTGCCTGTAAGGAATTATTTTATTAAAAGTATTTATGTTAGTAATGCTCTAATTAAGTTAATTTATTACAACTTTTTAAAAAGATGTTCTGCATTACAAATAAAAGCAGTAACCTCCAGAAATAAATACATTTCAAATAAGATATGATGATAGTATTTTTTCAAGAACTGGCTCATAACCATTCTACTTGCCATTTTTAAAAGGGCAAAGTTGTATCCTCTTTGCATCTGGAACTGCTTCCCAACCCTACAACCCAAAGAGATACCATTAGATAGGTCATTGGCATTCACACATCAGCTATTTTTCAAATTTCTCAGCTGAAAGATCCAAAGACAAAGCACACAGCACCCACATGAGAAACAACTGTTGATTTTTTTGGATATTTTCCTTTATATAATGTATCACTGTGTGTTTGATTTTCATTGAGTGTACTGGATATTAACATTTGTATTTCAATACAATAGTATCAATCCATAAATTCCTGGAATGACACAATATTTTTTCTAACGTGTAATATTGATTTTAAAATATTGAATGCCAGTCCATTTTCCATTGGAGATGATGCCATTAAGTAGGGCAATGGCTTCATTATTTGGGTGGCAGGTTCAGAATCTTCAAACCGAACACCAGCAGGAGCATTCCCAGTTCCCACAGATTAACTCAACCCTCCTCAGATTTTGGCCACTCATATTATAGAATTTACTGTAATGACACTGACAGAACTAGTGTTGTTGTTATGTCCTCCTACATCCCAGGCTGGGATATGGGAGCATAGGACATAAGATTTAAAGGAATTAGGAGGTCACTAAATCTGGTCCCCTGCTACAGCAGACCACTGCATCATAATCCCTTTTAGAAATTTATTAAGCACAATTTAACAACTGGTTGTTTTCCCCCAATACTTCTATCGGCTGTTCCCTAAGCGTGCTCACTGAAACCCCCATCTAAATTCCAGTCTAAATTTATTCACAACCATGTGTACTCATTTTTTACTGTGCTAACATTGTTCTTAATACTAATTAGATCTTGTCCCTTAGTAATGCTTACCCCCTATAAGTGGGGCCCCTAACCCCTGTTACTTGAATAAAGAGCAACGCTGCAGAGGAGCTATAGCACTACCTTGAGGAACTGAGGAAAAAAATAGGTTACAAGGGTTGGGCTCCAGGAAGGATGTCAAATAACAGCTGCAGCAGAGCTGAGCAGGCTGCTGATGAACTGGGAGTATCAGTAGCCTCTGTTACTGAGAGCTGGGCTAGGCAACAGAAATAAGTGGCTGAGTCAGTGCAGACGAGCAACTGATAGAGAAGCAGAGCTGTGGGCCTGCTTGTACGGAGACAGGCTACAGAGAGGCAAGCTTGCAGATTGGGTGATAGAAAACCCTTGTGCTTGGTTCTGAGAAGCAGGGAGCAGGTGACTGGATGGGATGGAGTTCAGGGGAACAGTACTGTAGCAACAGCAGTGCCAGTGGTGCACTGGCACCAGATGCCCTTATATTGCCTCAGCTGCCAACGTCACACTTCATAGTTGCAAATTTTATCCCATTTCTATAACCATAGTCCTCAAGTTATCCAGTCTCTCTTGTGTGATACTTCCTTTTTCTCCTGTATTGATAATCCCTAATAACTACATAAGATCACTCCCAAGAACAATCCTTCAGGAACGCCTCTAGTAACTTTTCTCCAGCCCCTTTCTTCCTCTGTAATGACAACCCATTGTATTTTCTTCTAAGCCCCATCTTCTCCATCTCCACTATTAACTTCCCAAATGCCATCAAACTACTTATTTCTAGATATCCAGACATCTACATCTTATATACTAGAACAACTATATTCCCCTTACCTGGAACATAGGTATATAGTAGGCTGGCACAAATGGGATTTTATCCCATTTGTCATTTTTCTTCAAACTTTTCATTTTCCTTACCTCAAAATCTGTTCTAAAGCCTAATGTACTATTGGGATCAGACTAACAGGCCTATAGTTTTCTTACTTCTTTTTTCCCTTTCTTAATCTCAAGGTTAGGCATTTTCCAGTTGTACAGTACATGCCTCATCCCTCCCCAACCCCAACAAGACACATTTAGTAAAATCCTTGCCACCAGACAAGTAATTTCATCTGCCAGTTCTTTAAATATTCTGAAATAGATATGTACCATTCCCCCCAGCTCTGATTACATTAGGTTCTCAGGAAGTTGGTTCCAATTTGGACAGTCACTCCTATGTCCATACCATAATTCTCATCAACCCTCCTGCTTTTACTACCATATTCAACATCATTATCCTTACTGAAAAGTGAGGCACAGAATTAATTTAATTTTGAGGCCATACTTTTGGGAGTTTATCTTTAAACTCTACCCTTTGCTCACTTTTCTTTCATTCTTCTTTTATTTATAGTTCTGAAGGGCCTTTTCTTTTTATCATTCCTTTGCAAGGTCTAACTCAGCTTGACTTTTGGCAATTCTCACTTTACCTCTACACTTCATGATGTCTAAGACATAACTTTGTTTGCTGATCAATCTTTTTTTTATTTGGTAGGTTTGCTGCTTTTTCTTTTTAATGGAAGTTGTTCATCCAGTTAAATCTGAAGCCCTTCCCTATCATTTGTTTCCTTTATTGCTTAGAATTAGAGGTGCACCAATACATCGGTCCCATATTACATTGACACCGATATGAGGAAAATTGAGAGTATTGGCAATCGGTGGGGAGCACAGCCCCACAGTGTGGAGAGCAGCTGGGTCGTGTTGGTAAGTTTGTTGTGGGTGAAGAGGCGAGGAGGGAGGAAAGGTGAGTGGGTGGAAGATCTAGGCCCCCGCAGTGAGGGAGGGAGTGGGGCTGGGGATGGGGCTGTGGCTGGGGCTGGCACTGCCCAGCCCGGGTAGGGTGGGGCACACTCCATCCAGGGGGCACAGGGAGGCAGGGCCAGCTCACTCTGCTGCACACACCCTGGGAGGGTGTGGGGGGGGTGTGCCCCTGGATCTATGCGCAGGGCAGGGCGGGCTGCCACTGTGGGCTGGGGTCAGGGCTGTGCCAGGCTCTTCCTGATGGGGGGCTGGGCTGGGCTGCACTTGGTATGCACAGCAGTGGCACTAGGAGGGGAAGGTTGGGTGGACTTCAGCCACCCCAGAATTCACCGTAGCTCCCACTACCAGCACCACCAGCACCTGCCCCAAGCACAGCCTGGCCCAACCCCCTCACTGGGAAGAGCCCAGCGCAGCCCTGGCCCCAGCCCACAGTGGCAACCTGCCCCACCCCATACACAGATCTGGGGGCATACCCCACCCCAGGCTCTCCCAGGGTGCATGCAGCAGCAGGAGCCACCTAGACTTACCAGCCGGATGCCATTCTTCACGCTGTGGGGCTGCATATCGGAATCGGATCAGTACTGGCCAATATGGCTTTTTTTAAAATAA